CCCCAAAACCCCAAAACCCCAAAACCCCAAAACCCCGTAAGTATTTAATTCTCAAAATAATAGCTAATTAAAATTTTAATCCATATGAGTCACAAATTTATAAATTGAATTTAGCCATCTTAATCATAAACTAATTTTTATTTTTATAATCTCTGTCTTAATAATGAATAACTTTTATGACTGTTTACACTTATTTTGACTTCTGAGGTAATTTACACAATGTTTAAATGGCCATTATCTTAATTTGAACTTTTGTTCAAATCTGTTTACAGAAAATTCGGATATTTCATTTCTTTAACTCGATTTATTTCACCTTATCTGATTATATTTTTATCAAAGTCTGCACTTTAATTCATTATTGTAGAATCTTAGACATTCAAATTAAATGATTTTATATTATCTACAGATACTATTGATTATGTAGTTACTACTACTGAATTAAATAATTCCTACTGATTAAATTTTACTTTTTATTATTGCTCACCTTCATTTTTTAATTTTTTTTATTTTTTTGCACAATAATATCAGAGTATGACTTTAATTTTAAGAATCATTTAACTCCTGAAACTAAAGAAAATGTTCACAATTAAGAATAGCAAAGATAATGCTATGGTGATATAGCCTAAATTTATTCTTAAACTATATTAAATATCATATTGATCTGTGAAAATAATCATAGTGTGTAAAATAAGTTAAATCAAAATCTCATTAAACAGCTCTAATTTATTAAGTAATTTTGATTCATATGGCTTATTTTACAGTATATAAATACTCATAACCATACTCTAAACCATCATAAATGAGACTTGTAATCCTTGGCTAAAATTAAGCAAAACTAAAGTTAAAGAATAAAAAAGCCTTCAAAGCAAACTAATGCTTTGAAATTTTAGACTTTTTGGTCTTAATCCTTCCTATAATGGTTCAAATCTCAATTGAATAGTTTTAATGTCATCGCTATAAATAACCTATGTCAATATGAAAACTATGAATGGCATAAGCATAGTGAGAGCAATAAATTTGATCGATAATACAGTGCTAAATTTGTCTTTAAAACTTCCATTCAACTAAGTTTTATTTTATTGGAAATAATTACCGAGAGATTGCTAATAAATGAGCAGAGAACTAATTCAATGTAAGATTCTAAAATGAATCTCAAAGTAGCTGAGTAAAATAGATACTAATTGTTTCTTTTTCTCAATTTCATAAATCTGAAAATGTAAAAATGTTAATTGCGTACATAATATATTTCGATGAATAAAGTTTTAAACATCTAGCTACAATCATCATCATTAGTAGTATTACATAAAAGTAAAAAATAATTCCAAGGTTTTCAATTAAATTACAAGAATTATACCCCATCTACTAAAAAAACACACTAAATGTCTAGGATTCATAATTAACAAATGAATTATCAGAAAAGTTTGTAATAATAGAATTATCAACTAATTAATCATCAAAGATTAATTTATTAGCAGATTAAACATCAACAAATTAAAAACTAGACACATCAAGGATAAAATTGTAAAAGATTGCTATATTTGGTGGAGTTGTAATTGCCATAAGTGGTAAATGGGTTATCAGTTAGAAACTGTTTATCATTCCCCATAATAACTAAATACTTTATGACCTTTAATTTTTATGATAGACAGTATTTCTTACATCAAGAGGTTTATAACGAGATTTGAGCCTAAAATACTCTATACGGTAATACTGCTAGATTACCCAATTTTGTTTAGAAGTTACTTTAACTCTATTTCGATAATATATTAATTATAATATTACATTCACTAATTTATGGTGGCATCATGCCCTTAATCGTATATGATTTTGGTATCATATATTATTTTCTCTAATCTATAAACAGAAAGAATAATTTAAATTGAATGCTCAGTATATCCCAGCTCTAAAACTTCTATTAAGCAAACATAACTTACTGAGGTCGTAGAAATATCAAAAACTTTTAATTTCAGATTTATTGTCATTTTATTGTTTTCATAATTTACAAACTCATATTAGACTTGCTCTTGTCACCCATCATATTCTTTTGTAATCCTAATTATAAGAGCTTGATCAATCATTTTTTTCATTTATTAAGTCAAATTCATTGATTTATCAAAATAGATTATAACCTAGCCTGAATGACTAATTTTGATTATTTTAGCTTCTACAATACCTTTTATTTATTACATTTTGGCAAAAAGATAGCTGTCTTAGATTTCTTTGCTATAAGTACTTAAATCTATTTCAAACATGTTAGTTTTAGGAATTATTTTTACTAAGAACTTGTATTTACTGTATTTTTGATATGTATTTTTATCGGTTATTTTAATATCAACATTATGTGAGCCTACCAACTCAATTTATGGTGTAATTCTCAATCTATTTCCATCTAATTTTAATAATGAGTCTCTATAAATCGATTCAAAACTAATAGAGTAATCATCCATCTCATCATCTTTTACATTGGGAAATTTGTATCAGATTACAGTTCTATATCATTTAATTTTCCCACAAAATAAGGTGCAGTGTTGTTCAGATATGAATACTTGGAATCTGAAGTTAAAGTAATCTTGAATGGGATTTCTACATGATACTATCTTAAGTAGAAAAAATAAACCTCGACAACTAGAATACATTTATATTCCTTAGCTTGCCAATGATAATCATTATTTATACTAATTTAGCCTTCATTCACTATATCAAAATTTAATCCATCAAATTTTGAATATCTTGAACCAAATTCAAACTAATTTTAGATGCGAAAGAAGAACGAAGGCTCAAACTGAACATTTTAAAAGCTATATTCTTATATTCCAGAGCCAATGATGTAATTTATATTATCTATTGAAGGGTCTTTAATTATAGTAATTTCTGGAATTTTTAATTAGTCTGCGATTACCAAGTTAAAAATAATTTCATGTAAAGTCCAATTATATTGCCCATCATTAAGCTAAAGTTGAATTTTAATAAGATGATTTCCAATTAATTCTTCTTTATTTGATTAGAATTTTATTTCATATTTCTTGGTATTTTTGCCTAATTAAGGAGTTTATTGAAGTGCATTTAATAAACTTAAATTTTCATCTTCAACTATTGCTATTGGCCTAATAATTAATGTTTCGGAACAATCAGTGAGCTAATAATTAATAATCAACAAATCACAATACCAAACCCACTCTGACAAAAAGCAATAGAGAAATTTTTAGCTCTTTCTTCTCGAGAAATATTTATTCTAGTATTAAACATCTACTTTTTATAAGATATCTTAGTAAGTAAAGAATTTCTAATCAATTTAACCAGGCCATTAATGAATGTTTTCAGTCAGATTCATATTCTAGAATTTAATTTTATAGCTATTATCTGTCGAATCTGTAAAAGTCTAAACATTAGAAATTAGTTCTTTATAGGTCTTAAAATCAGGTAATAATTCATATTCAACTGTTGTTTCAATATCCTAGGAAATTTGCGATTAATGTCTTGATGGCTCACTAACAAAGCCAAATTTATTTGAGTTCGATTAAACCTATCCAGAAATGAAATAATATTCAGAGGCTTCGAATGATGCGTATATTAGATGATTAATCTTGAGAGTGCTTGAAGGTTAAATACTCAATTTCTTCTCTTAAAACGTTACATTGAATTCATCAGTTTAACTTTACAATAAAGCCATTGGAACTGTAATTTGAAATACATCTGTGGTGAATCCATCAGTAAATTATGTGTAAAATATCTAGGTAGATTTGTCTTATTTAATTAAAATTCCTGCACATTCTCTTCTCCGAGAGTTGCTATCAAATTAGTTCATATAGATCCTCTTTGATATATTTCCTTTACCAAAAAAACCGTATCCTGGCTATACCTGATCAATTATACATACAATGCAAAATCCATTTTAAAACACAACCATCGAAAAATCCAAGTTCTGATAATTTTCAGTAGAAAGTTAATAAGAATATATTGGATTAGTTTTGGTTAGATCATTAAAAAACAACTATGTAAATATCCCTTAGAATTATGCTCCAGTGCTTATGATTTTATAAAAGCCTCCAATGAAGATTTTTTTAACATCTAAATTTACCCTTGCCATCACAGAAACTCTTGATTAGCCAGGAAAATCAAGTTTATTGATAAAATTTGTCAGATTTCGATCAATTTAAATAATTTAAGCTTAGAATTTTCCAATGTATATTGCTACTAAAATGTTTCCCTCAAAATTAATCTCCATCATATCAATATATTGTCGTTAAGGGATGAAAGATTAAATCCATATCCCATTGATGTAATCTCCATTTTATCTCATGCTCACTAGATAATAATAGCCAGAATTACCATCATTTGTATCACTTCTTATGGCTGCATACACTCTGTCATCAAAGAATTTAATAGATTCCACTCTTTTCATTGGAAGATTCATAGGTCTAGAATCGCTTAGATACTAAATATTCTTTATCCAAGCTAGTCCTTAATAACTAATTCTATCGTTATAAGCACCCAGTATTATTTTTCCTTCATTGATCCCTCCAAAGTAAAGAATAGCTTTGGATTAGTCATATGCAAGCACATTTATATCGCTGTCCTTTAAGGCAGAGTTACTCATAACGAATGGTAGCTATTCAATCCCAAAGCATTGCATTCTAAAAAAAGTAAAAACTGACATTATATTATGATTTAAGCGAAATAATCCTATTTTCATTGTAATTTGAATTCAGTTGTTTTAAATATTAAGATTTACTTACTATAAGTTGCACTTAAGAACTAAAAGTTACATTGAAAATAGAATCATCCATATTTTAATGTCTACTATCATATTAATGTTTTCCAAGTTGATCATTTTCTACTAATTATATTAATTGATTTTTATTGAACCTTTTAATTCGTAAACATAGACAAGGTATTGGATATTGTAAATATTTTAACAATATATATTATTATAAATCCTAAACTAAATCTATAATTCTCATTATTGATTTGAAATTTTACAATGAGGGGTTTTGGGGTTTTGGGGTTTTGGGG